CTCGAACAATATCTTTGATCCCAAACCCACCTCTACCACCTCCCCGCTCTTCACTGCCTTCTTTGCTTCTTTCTTTATCTCCTCCATCTCCATCCACTCTTTTAGTGCAGCAGTCCTCATCCTCTTCTCAGCTGCCCCTTCCAACTTCTCCAATATACCGTCTTCATCATCTCTACAACCGTAGTAACTTGCATCAATCCTCTTGTATATATCATACCTACAAAAGTCAACCAAGTAGCATGTCAGCATAAAAGCCTAGTGAGAATAATCAAATGTTTTCACAAACATATCCACATAGGTATACACAGGAGATACCTATCCTCTTAACATGGAACTAGAAAATAAAACATGTGAAACAGGATAAATCAAATCCAGTGATATAATGAAAAGCTTAACTCTTATATTTGCATCACTGTATTGATATTGCAATCACCTAGCACAATGATGTTGACAATTAATTCAGAGAGTACTAACTACTAATTATTTCAAGAGGGTACTTCTAGACCTCAGGCCAGTCCACTAAGTCATAATACCATACCAATTTTTCCTGTTACCTAAACCATTCAGCACATAGGTCATTAAGCACAAGCTCAATCCATATATGATAAACAAAATACCAGCACACAAAGCACGTGAGCCAAACCCACATATACACAAACAAACCGTGGCTTTGTTCCATAGCTGCTCCTACTCCAGATTACTTCAAGCTAGAAACTAGGATAATACTTTCTTTTTAGGTCAAACCACGAGGTGTCCTGAGCGGACCCTAAAGGAGGCACCTTTAAGCCCGTACCATACTCAGACTAATCCCCGTTTGCACCAGCCGGCCCAACCGGCCCAATTAAGCGGCAAAGTGATGCCCATTGGTTTTTCCATACGAGAGGGGGTTCGAATTAGGATAATACTTGACCTAAACAAATGAAGTACTAATACAAGAACACAGAGGAACACGATGAGAAATGCAACTTAATATCTTGCAAGAGGAAATCAGAGTTTGCTAAACAAAGTTAACCTCTAATACTAGTTCTAAAGCTACTTCATTGCACCAAAAGTAATAATGTAGCACTTATCTGGGTAGTAAAACAGGCACAAGGAGATAAGCAAAAAAAGTCACAATCCATCAGGCATAGTTAATAATCTACTATACCTCGTTCTCCTTTTCCGCAGCTCGGGAGGCTTCTCAAACAACTCTCGAACTCCAGGCAACTTCTTGGCGGCGCCGAAGTATCTGTACCCCGGGCCACGGCCACCTGGATTGGGAACATCCACAATATTGCCTTCCAAATCCGTCATTTTTGCGGAATACTTGGCGTGATTCGGCCCGCCGAGCTCAACTATCCGTCTTTCCCAATGGCCCTTCTCACGTATGAGCTTATTAATCTCGTCGTTGAGGTCACGAAGTCGATGTTCGCCGAGACCCTCGTTCTGGATCTCCGCAACTTTCCGGCCAATCTCCCGCATGATTTGCTGCCGCCACTTGTCCGCGTCGGCAAGGTCTCTACACTCCGACGCCAGGTAGGGGCGGCGATCCTTCGGCTTCTTCTTCTCATCCTCCTTCATGGCGATGAACCGATTGAGCATCGACTGCGCTTTCTCCTCGTTACGAGCCATGGCTGACGGAGAGGAATGGAAACCCTAGGTTGAATTCGATTTCGATTTGGGAGGTTTTACAGAGGATGTTTTTAAACCCTATCGGAAATTAAATCGGGTAAGGGGTAACAATGACAGAACTGTCGCCTTATAACCTAAGACTATCACCTTTCCTAAATCCTAAACGGAAGGGGATTGGGGGAATTGCAAATTTACACGTGATTTTGGTAAGATTTAAAAAATAAATAAATAAATAATTCAGAGGGTGTAAATCTAATTCTGGAAAGAAAAATGGTTGTTTTTTGTTTGGGATAAGGGTCAAATAAGCCCTCAAAGTATAATCAAACGAGCAATTAGACCCTTAGGGGGCGTTTGGTTCAGGTTATATAACATAACCAAGGGAATGTGACATTCCAAAGCTCACATACCAGTGTTTGGTTCATATTATCTTAGGGAATCTGACATTCCCAAGGAATGTCACATTCCCTCCACATAGGATTTTGAAGGGAATGTGATTCCCTTCAAAATCTTAGGTAATGTAAGATAACCTTAGTTATGTTAGTTTATTTTATATATATATATATATATATATATATATATATATATATATATATATATATATTATGTTATATTAGCATATAAAATAATTTTGTTTCTCAAGTTCAAGATTTTAGTTAATATTTTAAAATCATGTAATTATATATGATACCGTTATCTTATTTATTTATTTTAATTTTAAAATTTATTAAAATATATGAAAATATGTTAAGGATATTATAGTGTGTATACAAGATAATCCTAAACCAAACAAGATTATATTACATACACCAATTTTAACCAAACACAAGAATCTAACATTCCCAGTAATCCAACATTCCCAGCAATCTAACATTCCCTAAGGTAATCTGACATTCCGTGAACCAAACGACCCCTTAATCTATAAAAAATTTCAATTGAACCTTTCAGTTTGTCAAATTAGTACAATTCACTCATTTTACCTGTAACCTTCAGGTTAATGCTGACATAAGCAGCCACAGGACAGTCATGTGAATTTTTATTTTTTAAAAAAACCTAATTGTAAAGCTATAATGTTTATTATTATTATTATTATTATTATTATTATTATTATTATTATTATTATTAAAACTAAAGCTAAATAAGTAAAATAAAACACTAAACTAATTCAGTAATCCATAATCCTAATTTCACACATTGTACGTCTTCCATTTTGCGACTCACTGTTCGGATTAGGGGAAAAGGAAGAATTGGGATTAGGGAGAAAGATAACCAAGTCGACGTACAGAATTTGTGAAATTAGGATTAGGGATTACTGTATTAGTTTAGGGTTTTATTTTACTTATTTAGTTTTAGTTTTAATAATAATAATAATAATAATAATAATAATAATAATAATAATAATAATAATATATTAAATAATAATAATAATAATAATAATAATAATAATAAACATTATAGCTTTACAGGTAGATATAAAAATAAAATTAAAATTCCACATGGCTGCCACGTAGCTGCTTATGTCAGCATTAACTTGAAAGTTACAGGTAAAATGGGTGAATTGCACTAATTTAACAAGTTAAAATGGCTTAATTGGAGCTTTTTATAGATTGAGGGTCTAATTACTCTTTTTGTTATACTTTGAGGGTCTATTTGACTCTTATCCCTTTTTGTTTTAATTTTTTTTTTCAACCCAGATGTCTCTTGAGCAAATCCTAATAGTAAGAAACACTTGCTCGTATCATATTTATACCAATCTCAGTTCCCATTGAGCTAGTCGGTCCAATTAAGATTGTCGCCTACCAAAAAGGAAATACAGTGTTTGGATTGGAGGATTTATCCTTGCATCCCTCAGCACTTTCCAACAGGTAAAACCATTGTCCAGACGTGAATGGACAATGGTTCTAACTTCTTTTAGTTATTTAATTATGCTATAATGATAAACTCATCTTTTAATTGTTAGAGTGGTCACATTTAATTCCTGAATTATTCACATAGTAAATAATTTTAATCATTCATCTCAAGTATTAGTTAAAATATAATGTTAATGTAAAGGCAAATTCAACTATATCAAAATATATTCAAATATCATGATTCAAAGTGCAGCTAAAAAGTTGGACATTGTGGAGAAAAGAAGTCAACTTCCACCATTTTCACATCTCATTGTAGACTTTTTCAATGCCATCATGTAGAGGCTCATCACTATCTATCATGATATCCACAATTGATTTCCTAACTACTTCAACATTTGACTATTCTCTGTGTTTCATCCTTAATTTCATGACATATAATTTTGATCTCACCATAAAAAAAAATCTTAGAATACTCGAAATCAATACGACAAGGAAGCATGTATAGGCGCAGTTCAAGAATTTAAATATAGGAGTCCACACAAAAAAAAAAAAAAACAAAATGCGCAATATTTAACAATATAAGAGAAATATCTCTGAGTGATACATACATTCTTAACATCTCCTACGCGAGAGGTTGATGAAATGTCTCCATTGTTGTTCAGTACACGAAAATGGATGAAGATGAAAGAATGATGTTTTTGAATGATCGGATTCATGTTAGGAGTTGTCGTGTTGGCCAATGCTGGATTGGCTAGAAAATTATGTATTAAAAATCTAAAGGTAAGAGAATAAGTAAAATGGAGAAGTAAAGGAAGTTGAATGATGAATCCATGGATACCATTTCGGTTTGATAAGTATTGGAGAATCCAGCTTTGTAGAAATAAAATATTTTCCTTCGACATTTTTGTGGTGAGGGAATACTTACAACATATCAACATTGAATTTTAACAGATCCTTGAGGTAAGTGACTAAAATAGCCACCATACAAACAATTCATGGACTAAATAGATCAAATTTATAATTCAAAGATTGAGTTTACCATTGTGACATAATTCATGAAAAATGACCTTCTTCCATCAAAGATTGAGTTTTGAATTCTAATAACCTGATTCAAAGCAGGTTAAAACATGTTATGCAAAATCTAATCACTATACTTCAAAATTTTTAAATGGCTTTATGCCAGTTATCACTTTTCATTAATTTCAACATGTTAAGTTTTTTTTTTTTTTTTTTAAAAAAATTCTTTTTTCCAACCAAAGCAATCCATGCAATTGAAGCTTTTATTCTTTAAATATCATTTCTCTCAAGTCTTTAATACGGAGTAGTAATAATAATAATAATGGAGTAATGGACTATCGTTTTGATACCCCTGTGCCAATGCCTAATGAGACAATTCGCATCCATATTTTCAAATTTTTGCATGTTTACCAACATGACTAGTTGGTCTTCAGAATTTTTCTTTAAATCTGGATTGTGATCAATATTGTTGTTAGGAGTTGCCAAACACACCCTAGCTGAAAATACAAAAACCTTACCCACAGGTAATTTGAAAACCTTCAATCTGATCATATATAATTTCAGCAAACTGACACTAACATAATGTTTTTTTTTTTCTTCTCTTACAATAAAATATTAACATAAGCTTGTCCGAGAATCAAAAGCCATAGAATATAGTAAAACTTTAGGAAGCAAAAAAAGAAAGAAATCCTCACAATCACTCCCCAACTACAAACACCTAAGAAACAACACATTGAAGCACAAATGATGCTAGGATCCATTGAATATGACAACAATGTGAACCAAACGAATTGATATAAAATATGCCCTCCTCTTGAAACCTGACCTCACAACTTCTCCTTGTCAGTGAAAGTTTAGGATCATTTGGAACGTCATACCAAAAGAGTGGGAAAGACAAAGGACACTCACCAAGTAGTTGTGCCTTAGAAGCACTTCCTGTGGACAATGGATGGACCAGACTCCTCGTACTCGCTCTTTGAAATCCACATCTGAGTAGGCAACAAAGGATCACATGTAAAGATCAAAGTCTAAAGATTTAATGCGATGAAGGAAGACAAGAGAATCACGACTGGACAATGGCAATGGCTTTACCTGTTGGAAAGTGCTGAGGGATGCAAGGATAGATCCTCCAATCCAAACACTGTATTTCCTTTCTGGTGGGGCGACAACCTTAATCTTCATGCTGCTGGGTGCCAGAGCAGTGATTTCCTTGCTCATACGATCGGCAATACCAGGAAACATGGTAGAACCACCACTGAGCACAATGTTACCATAGAGGTCCTTCCTAATATCTACATCACACTTCATGATGGAGTTGTAGGTAGTCTCATGAATACCCGCAGCTTCCATTCCAATCATAGATGGCTGGAATAGGACTTCTGGGCAACGGAATCTCTCAGCTCCAATTGTAATTACCTGTCCATCAGGCAACTCATAGTTCTTCTCAATATTGGAGCTGCTCCTTGCTGTTTCAAGCTCTTGCTCGTAGTCAAGGGCCACATATGCAAGCTTTTCCTTCATGTCGCGAACAATTTCCCGCTCAGCAGTAGTGGTGAACATGTAACCTCTTTCAGTGAGAATCTTCATTAGAGAATCAGTGAGATCACGGCCAGCAAGGTCCAACCTAAGGATGGCGTGAGGAAGAGCATAACCTTCATAAATTGGTACTGTGTGACTAACACCATCACCAGAATCCAGCACAATACCTGCCAACATTTTATTGAATAAGTTTCAGAATGCATGTCTTGCTATTACAAAAAGAATTTCAGAAGACAGTGACTAATCATACGAACCAGTTGTACGACCACTGGCATAGAGAGAGAGCACAGCCTGAATAGCAACATACATAGCAGGAACATTAAAAGTCTCAAACATGATTTGGGTCATCTTCTCCCTGTTAGCTTTGGGGTTGAGGGGTGCCTCAGTGAGAAGGACAGGGTGCTCCTCAGGAGCAACACGAAGCTCATTGTAGAATGTGTGATGCCAAATCTTTTCCATGTCATCCCAGTTGCTGACAATACCATGCTCAATGGGGTATTTCAAGGTCAAGATACCTCGCTTAGACTGGGCTTCATCACCCACATAGGCATCCTTCTGTCCCATCCCAACCATAACACCAGTGTGCCTAGGACGACCAACAATACTGGGAAACACTGCTCTTGGAGCATCATCACCAGCAAACCCAGCCTGTATAACAAACATGTAGTCAGCCAGACTGAAATGCATGATACCTTTATGGCTATAGACACATGAATATTAACAATCAGACTAACCTTCACCATTCCCGTTCCATTGTCACAGACAAGGGGCTGAATATCCTCAGCATCTGCCATTTTTTATGAAACTGCAAAACACATAACAGGTCAGATAATTAGAACACTTTAAGCAGAACCAATAATAGTTACACCATACCCAGCAGCACAAAAGCTTGGTTAGGTTGTATCCAAACTAATGATCTTTTCCACTTTTCCTGACTATTATTTAAAATAAAAGAAAATTAAACTCAAAATTTCAAACCAAAGTATCATGAAAGCCAGATATGCCAATGTGAGATGGGTTTATCATATCATATTATTCCGAGTGTAAACATATTCCTGAGTAAGCCAGATCAAATCCAAAACTAGAATTCCCGTTTAGCAATTGAAATGTGCAGAGCAGTACAGATTCATCAATTAACAGCGGGAAAAAACATCGGATGCAAACCTCATTAGAAATGCAACACAAGTTAGATCTAAAATCAAAAGTAGATCGTGGTCCCATGAACATCACAGATCATAACACTGTTCACAAAAATTCCCCTAACAATCATACTTCAATCTTCACCATCCACAGATTCACTAAATCCGACAATTTCATACGGAATGAACAAACAAAATCATATACAAAACTATAAAAGGGAACTTGAAGCAACTGAACTTCACAGATCTCAAAGCAGAAAAAAGAAAAGCAAATTCACATCTTCATTCTATGATCAACATTGATCGAGAGCTAATTAGCTTGAAATTAAATTGAACCAGAAATTTTTTTTTTTTTTTTTTAAAAAAGTTAGATCAGTGAATATGCAGATCTCAAATTAGCTTTAGTTAGCTTACCGGAAAGTGAAGTAGAAACGAGATCGGAGAAAATGATTTGTCACCGGAGACGACAGCCGCCGGCCTCGCTTTCTCTCTGGTGCCGAAGGTGTTCGAAAACAAATTAGGAGGCGTAAATTTAGAGAGA